AGCACAAAGCTATATGTGGTTGGCTGCTGCCTATGGTGGACCTGGAGTCATGGTGGGGTGGCTTCACTGTGAACCAAGGGTGGCTACCACCAAAAGTGTGCTGAGGCAGCTTAGGAAAAAACCCAGGGTCCCTTAGGCCTACTGCTACCCTCCAGCTGCCTGTAAGACCCAGTCATAGAAAGAGACTCCTTAGGTGCACAGTCTGGGCCAGTTGACCTGGTGTTGAGAGTGCCTTTGGCAATACAATAGTAGCTGGGCAGTGTGGAGTCCCAGGAAGTTACAAGATGTGGCCAGTGGTTTTTACAAAGTTAATGCAGATTCACTTCTTATGTCAGTGTTCAGCCTGTGAACCCTTTGTACACTGTCTGAAGAACACTGCAGCCAGTCACTGCTCACCTTAGGGGAACACCTGGCTTGTGATCACTTTGCACAATGCCCATAGAGCACCACAGAGAGCCACCATTTGCCTCAGGCTTGCAAATTACCAAGAGTTGCTTAAGAGTGGCTGTGGCACAGGTTTTGGGTCCGTGTCCACCACGAAAATCTCTCCAGGTCTTTGTGGACCAACTACTTCTGTAAAAGGCCTCTGCTTGTGGGGGCTGGCCACGTAGGTGCCAAGAGCGACCCTGCCAATGCAACTCTAGGTAGGTGGGGTGGGATTCCAGAGAGCTCAGGATTGTGCTCGATGGTTTCTATGAAACCAGTGCAGTCCTGGCTCCCACACTGGTTCTAGGCCCACCACCACCCTGCAAAAACATCCTGAAAACACCACAGCCAGCCTCCACCCACCTCAGGCCCATAGGTTCCTGAGGGATGCCCTAGAGATGCTGTGGCACAGGACTTGGGTTACTGCCCACTAGCAAATGTTTCCTGGGCCACCACAGGCTGTCTACCCACTGCAAAGAGACTTCTGCAGCCTGTAAGTTGGGGCCAGCAGCCCAGCAGTCAAGAGCTTCCCGAGGGTTTTAGCACCAGCTGTGTGGGGGGCAGGGACACCGGGTGTCACCAAGGTGGTGCACATGCATGGATTCCACTGACCAATATGGTCCCAGACTTGGCCTTTTGGGGGAAGGCTTAACACTGAATAGATGCTGCCTTCCTGTAGGCCACACATGTGTCAGGCTCCACTCAAGGATAACAGTGGCTCCTGTCCCTCCAGTTCCCACCTAGAAGCCATAATACTCAGTGTTTCCTCACTCATCCTTAGGCTTCTTTAGCTGCCACCCCTCCACCAGTGACCAGGTGAGTGCCCACAAGTGATTGAGTCTGTGTGCTGGCTCTACAAGACTACATCTGGGTTTCCACTAGATAGGGCAGATTTTCCTTTCTGATTTTCACTGCCAGATGCTGTGGGTCCTCCTCTTCCCAGCACAGGACTTTAGGGCTGGGGAGCCTGGCATGGGGCTGGGACCCCTCCCTCTCCAGGGAAAACCCCTGCCACTGAGGTGCCCCCCTGGTGTTCAACTATTATCTGTGGGTTTGGGGTCAGCCCATTTCACATCTCAGCCCCTCCGACCAGTCTCGATTTGGCTTCTTATATATATCCTTACTTATAGAGGTTCTGCTCCACTAGTGTTCAGATGATTTTTGAGGTTGATTGTTTTATAGTTTATTTGTAATTTTGGTGTGATCCTGGAATACAGTAGGCATAGCGTTTACCTAATCTGCCATCTTGGACCAGTTGTCTTGAAAATAGCTGTTGATAGAGATGTAGTTATTTCCAGTTTATTATTTATATTTTTAATTTATTTTGCTTTTAAAGTTCCTTGTAATTCTGGTTTGGTATTGGTGAACTTCTTTTGCCTTTTATTGTCTTGGAAGGTATTTATCTGTTCTATTCTAAATTATAGCTTTGCTGTGTAACCTTGGTTGTAGGTCCTTGTTTTTCATCACTTTGAATATTTCATGTTAATCTCTTCTTGCCTGCAAAGTTTCTGTTGAGAAATCAACTGACGGTCTTATGGGTGCTTCCTTATAGGCAACTAACCACTTTTCTCTTGCTGCTTTTAAGGTACTCTCTTTCTCTTTAACTTTTGACATTTTAATTTTGGTGGGTCTTGGTGTGGAACCTCTTTGGGTTCATCTTGTTTGGGACCCTCTGTGCTTCCTGGGCTTGTATATCTTTTTCCTGCACCAGGTTAGGAAACTTCTATCATTATGTCTTCAAATAGGTTTTCAATTGTTTGCTATCTCTCTTCTCCTTCTGGTACCCCTATGATGTGAATATTGGTACACTTTATGTTGTCTCAGAGGCCCCTTAAACTGTCCTCATTTTTTTGCATTCTATTTATTATTTTTGGTCGGATGTTTTCTTCTACCTTATCATCGAAATCACCAACTCAGTCATCTGCTTCATTTAATCTACTTTTGATTCCCCCTAATGTATTCATCATTTCTGATATTTCTGACTGGTTCATTTTCATGTTTTCTATCTCTTTGTTGATGTTTTCCCTGAGATCATTGAGTATCCTTATAACCCATGTTTTGAACTCTGCATCTGGTATATTGCTTGTCTCCATTTTGTTTAATTATTTTTTTCAAGCTTTGTTCTGTTCTTTTATTTGAAACATTTTTCTTTGTCTCCCCATTTTGGGTTGCCTCCCTGTGTTTGTTTCTATGCATTAGGTAGGGCTGCTATGTCTTCCGGTCTTAGTAGTGTGGTCTTATGTAGTAGGTGTGCTGTAGGGCTTAGTGGGGCAGTTTCCCTTGTCACCTGAGCTGGGTATTCCAGCTGTGTCCATTTTGTAGGTTTTGTGTGTGCCTTCCTATTGTAGTTGAACCTTGGTTGCTGTTTGCACATCAATGGGAGAGATTGATAATCAGGCTGAATTGTTGTGAAGACTGGCCATGACTGCAGTGGAGATGCATGAGCTGACCCTAAAGAGCATGATTCACTTTAGCAGTGCTCCAGTTCCTGCCCAGTGTGCCCATTTGGGTGCATCATCCCTCGAGGTGGCTGGGTGATTCTCTGGCTGTTCCTAAGCTGGCCACTGGGCATGCCAGCCTTTGGGCCTCCTGCGAGAGTCCCTACAGCAGCCCAAGTTCTGCTGAAGCCTGTGCCCTGCTTGGGGCCACCTGCAATGAGCCACAAAGCAATCTGCAGTTGACCACTGCCCCCTCTGGCTTGGAGGTTCCTCGAGAGGCCAAGCTATGAGCAAAGGCCAGCTTTTGCTAGTGCCTGGCTTAGAGCTGTTCAGCCAGTGGTATGGGACACTTTGAAGCCAGGTGCTACTTGTTTAGGTTTTGTGAACTTTTGAGAGATGTTAGGAAAGTCTGCATTATAAGACAAGGTAGGTCATTCATTCAGAAAAGCCACTGGAAGCAGATTGTGTGGGCCCAAAAGTTGAATGGGGTGGGGTCTCAGGGAATCAGAGTAAATGAATGGTGTTAGCCAGGTTGATGGAGACTTAGATATAGTGGGCACCTGCATCTGCATGCCAGGAGAGGGGAAGGCTCAGCAAAGAAACAATGGCTTCTACCATCTCATTTATCAGGAGAAAAATACCCCTTATACCCTCACCCACAGCCAGACAATTCAATTCCTCCTCATATGTTCTTGGTGGCTCTCCAGCTGCTGGCCCAGCTCTGGAGCTCAGAGTGAGTCCATCAGTGAGTAAGGCTGTGTGGGGGCCCATTAAGTGGAGCACCTGGAACTGCAGACATTCTATAATAGTCTTACTCAGCCACAATCTCTGCTGGTTTTCACAGTCAGAAGTTATGGGGACTTCTCTCCTCAGCCCTGGACGTGGGCTGGAGAGCCTGGTGTGATGCTGGGACCCCTCACTCCTCTGGGATGAGGGACCTCCAAAGCTGAAATATCCCTCTCAATTTTCAATGGTCACACATGGGTGTGGGACCAGACTGTTCTGTGTTTTTACCCCTCCTACCAGTCTTGAGGTGGCTTTTTCTGTATGTCCTTAGTTGTAAGACTGGTTCTACTAGACTTCAGGTGATTCTCAATAATGGTTGTTCTGTAGTTTAGTTGTAATTTTGATGTGGTCATGACCTGGGGTAAGCTCAGTATTTACCTACTCTGCCATCTTGACTGGATCTTCTGTTCTCCCTTATTCTGTTCTTTCCAGGGACGATGTGAGTAAGGGTATCTTGAAACCATGAGAGAAGAAATATTTCCCCCACCATTTCCTTTTTTAAGGGAGGGTCTTGACTCTACTTTGACCTCTTGTCTTGATCATAAGAGTCCCACAGCTATGGTACATACATACTTTCATTATATTAAGAAGAAATAATTTAAATTTACTTTCATACTTGAATTAATGTACTGAGGGAATCGTTACTTAAAAAATACATTTGAAGGATCTTTTGTACAACATAAATAACTTTCCCCTAATTTATCTGTTTTAATTCCTGATTTTTAAATAATAAAATTTTTAGCAATAAGAGAACACATATGAAAAATGTGCACTTTAAGCCTGACTTCTACTTTTAATATTCCAGTCTTGATTTCATGAAAATGAGCAACTTAGGTAATCTAATTATTTTTAAAGATACTTTTGCACACAGAAAAAACATTTTTGTTTAATATATGTATAGGCAACTCGCACTTTGTATTAGAGCCTAATTCACTTGGGTGTACTGAAATTCATGAAACTTATTAACATAAAGCCATCACATAAATAATGTAAAATCTAATTTCCTGTTTCAGACTATCAGTCTTCTTTAGCTATTCCCACTGATCCCACCTTTTCTTCAGCTAAGGTTCTTGTAATACTGTAAGATATTATGAGCATATTACAGATGGAATTCATTAAAATATTAAGTTAAAATTACCCAATACTGGGTTTTAAAAGACCTTCTCAATAGCTTTTTTTATTTGGGAGCTTAGTTTTCAAATTCAGTAGCATCACCTGCAGTTGTGTTTTAGCATCCTTGAAACACTTTTGAGGGACCACTTGATCACAGGAAGGCTGTAAATATATAAAGACCATACTGAGATGCTTTGAAAAGCTGGCCCAAGGTTTCTACATGCCATGGAACATTACCTTTAGTGGTGCGTTCTTGGCTTCAGGGAATTCCCTTTCATCCAGCCTCACCCAGCGCTGTATGAACTGCTGAACCATAGGATTTTCGTTGTTGACAATCTGGAATCCTGTAATGTTGGCTCCCCCATGCATGACTCTTTCTAGCAAAATATCGGTAAAACCCTAGAAAGAGATTGAAAGAAAATCATGATTATGGGAAGTTGTGAGTTCTTAATCACCATATATGTTGATTAGACTGCTAAGGAGGAAACAAAAACTCCTTCCCTAGGATCACTCTTAAACAATTAAAAACAAAAACCTGGACACAATACTACATGTCAATTATATCTCAATTAAAACAACAACAACAGCAACAAAAAACAAACAAAAACCCTGGATATGGACTACTTCTTAGGCCACGATGTCTCTGAAACTACAGGCTTGAAGGAGAAAATATGCTTACTTCCATTTTAGGGCCTGCACCTATGCTGCATCAAGGACAAACATAGATGCCAACTTCAAACAAATGTTTTGATTTGTTTCATTTACCTGTATTTTTAGTGTTTCTTCAATAATGCAATGCTTCATGTAACTAGAAAATGTGTAAAAAGTTTGACTCTTTTTAAAAAACATTTCTTCAGCTTATTATGCCAAATACAGCAGATTGCTTCAGATTCTCATGATGAATACTTTCACATTTTTGACTTACGAAAATTCCAAAGAGCAAAATGGATAGCTTGGTTGTATATGATGGTACAAACCCCAGGATATGTCTCACATGTGTCTATAAAGGAGTTTTGAAATCCATTTCATAGCATCTGTAGTTTTCTTCTTCTCTTGCTCTGGTTATGGTCTGGTATCTCTGCCACTTAAGCCTCCTGATGGAATCTCTTTAGGTTCACACCAAACCGTCTTCACCTTGGCACCACCAGTTCCACTGGGGATTGCTATCTTCTAGGAAACCTCTCCCAGGAATCGTGCTATTTTTGCTACATACCTGTCTCTTGATAGATGCTTCTGATATAGTTTGATCCTCAATAGGCTGAAGCCAACATTTATATTCATAAAAAAATTGGGAGAATTCTTCCTCCCTTCTTTAGATTTCCCTCCCCAATATTTTACTATAAATATTTCAAATATACAGAAAAGTTGAAAGAATTGTACAGTGAACATCCATATAATTACCACTCATATTTTACAGTTAGTATTTTTCTATCCATCCACCAATCCCTTTCATTTTTTGGATGCATTTCAAAGTTGCAGACATTAGTTTATTTTACAGAAAAATAATTTGGCATGCAGGTCATTAACTAGAGTTCAATATTTGTTTGCAGTTATTTCCCCCCTTTCCCTCATTCCTTCCTTCCTTCCTTCCTTCCTTCCTTCCTTCCTTTTTTTCCTTCCTTTTTCTTCAGGTAAAATTCACATTAAACAAAACGTGCGTTTTTTGTTTTCTTTATTTTCAGCTATAGTTGACATACAATATTATATTATTTTCAGATGTACAACATAGTGATTAGACATTTATATAATTTACTAAGTGATCACCCAGATAAGTCTAGTACCACCTGACACCATATATAGTTATTACAATATTATTGACTATATTCCCTATGTTCTACTTTACATCCCTGTAACTATTTATTTTTAATTTTTCAATTACAGTTGACAATATTATTTTCTGTTAGTTTCAGGTGTGCAGAATAATGGTTAGACATTTATATAATTTACAAAGTGACCCCTCCAATTAGTCTAGTACCCACTTGGCACTGTACAGTTACAACATTATTGATTATATTCCCTATGCTGTACTTTACATTCCCATGATTATTTTTATAACTGGCAATTTGTACTTCTTAATCTCTTTCGCTTTTTTTCACCAATTCCCTCAACCCTCTTCTCATCTAGCAACCATTAATGTGTTCTCTGTACATAAGTTTGTTTCTGTTTTGTTTGTTTTTTTATTTTGTTTTTTTAGATTCCACATATAAATGCAACAATATGGTATTTATCTTTCCCTGTTTGACTTATTTTACTTAGCATAATACCCTCTAGGCCCATCCATGTTATTGCAGATGACAAGATTTCATTCTTTTTTATGGCTGAGTAATATTCCATTGTATTATGTACCACCTCTTCTTTATTCACCTATTGATGGACACTTTGGTTGCTTCCATAACTAGGCTATTGTAAATACTGCTGCAATGAACATAAGGCTGCATATATCTTTTCAAATTTGTGTTTTGGATTTTTTTCAGATAAATACCCAGAGGTAGAATTGCTGGGTCATATGGTAGTTCTATTTTTAATTTTTTGAGAAACATCCATAATGTTTTTCAGTGGCTGCACCAATTTGCAATCCCACCAACAGTGCACGAGGGTTCCCTTTTCTCCACATCCTTGCCAACACTTGTTTTTTGTTTATTTATTGATAATAGCCATTATGAAAGATGTGAGGTGATGACTCATTGTAGGAAATGCAAATGAAAACCACAATGAGATATTACTTCACACCTGTCTTTAATGTACCACTCAATGAATTTTCGTGAATGCATATACTTGTATTACTCAAATCTCTATTAGTTTTCTTTTTTGCATTATGTTTTCATTGAAATGTAATAATCATATAGAAAAATGTACCTATATTTTAGTGTATAACCTGATAAATGTTCACAAACTGAACACATGAATGTAACCAATATCGAGAAGCAACCCTCTTGTGTGCTTCTTTAGTCACCAACCTTACCCTCACTTTAAAAATTTTTTTACATTTCTTTAACATGGACAAGAAAGTAGTCTTAGAAAACATTTTAGTGAAACAGCTTTTTCAGTTATTCACATCCCCCTTCCTCTTCCTTTTATAAATGGGATATGAGTCAATGGAGACTGGATAAAAGCCAAATAATTTGCATTGCTCAGAATCATTCCGCCTTTCAGATAATCACAAAGTATTTTTAAAATTAACATTAACTTGTTAGCATGAGTTTTCTTCCAAAGGCCTCCTTCATGAGAAAAACTAAGACTCACTGTTTTATCCCATTTTCTCCCCCTGAACTGTAATCAGCATAGAGGCTTGCTTGTGTATAAAATCTAGCAGAGGCTCCAGTGGGGGCTTAAGCTTAACTATTACACAACTCCCTACTTTCACCCTCTAAACATATATACAAATAAAGAGTCAAGGGAAAAACTTTAACAAATGGCTTTAACTAATTTACTGTGCCAAACTGTATTTGTCAATTAACAACAGTATTACATAAGAACAGTGACCAGCTGCCCACCTGCCTGCTGATGGGGGTAAATATTAGGCTTTCTGGTGCTCTCCCATGTCTTAAAAGCCTGGGCTGGAAAAGTGGAGTTCCCTTCCATGAAAGAAAGGGGTTGAGAATGCTTCTGCCCCGACAGCATGCACTAGGAAGCAGTATCTCTTGTGCCTTTCACACTTCAATAAGCATCACAATCCTGTTTACCTAATACTCAGAGCATGTTAAAATAGCAACAGAGGATTAACAAAAGGGAGGGAGAGAGAAAATATCCCAGAAGTCTCACTTCTGCCTTAAGGCATAAGTGCCAGCATTTCACTCTTGTTATGCACCATACCACTCTTTTCTAGAAAGATTTTCCCTCACTGCCCTTTTCTTGGCAGGGATAATAAAAGGAGGGGTACAACACAAATTTACCTCACCAATCATCTCAATTTATTCCCAGGAGGCTTCACTCTACCACTTAGGCCCCACACATTTCTACTCTCCAATAAACATACTATAATTTGGAAATATTTTCGTAGGCATACTCTGCATTCATCTCTCTACCACACATCAAACAACTGAGGACCTAGAAGTTTCTCAGTCAACCCATGTTTTATGACAAATATACCTGGGAATGAGTTCTGGCACACCTCATACTGGAATCAGCCTGGCTGTCTTCATGTGATGAAATGCATTCACAGGAGCACAAATCAAGCCAGGGTAAGGTCACCTCAAACGATTCTGGTAGGCAAGACCTACTAGTACACAACACTAGCTCCTACTGATTGCTCTGAAGGCTTATCTGTCCATAAGAGCAGAAAGCACTAACACAGCCTGATGAAAAAAAAATGGAAAGAACAGAAGAGTAGTAGAAAAAGAAAAGATGTAACAGTTATATAGGGAGATGAAAGGAGAGATCTTGTTGATAAAGGGCAAGAGTTGGCTAGCTTCTGGTGCTACTTCTACTGGCCCACTTGTATACATTTTACTTATTGTAACCTAATCAGATTCTGTGGCTTGAATGTCACCCTGGTGCTCACCATTCAGATGCAGCAATCCATAGTCCTCGAAGTTAATATAATCAAGGATGGATTCTGCTCGAAGCTTATGAAAAAACAATGCAGCAGAGCTGACCAAGACATATCAAGGATGTAGAAGCAGAAGAGAGAAAAGAGTTGAATAGTAGAGAACAGAAAAGCTGTTCTGGCTAACAGGCAGGAGTTGGTTGACTTGTGATCATTTTTTAATTTCTAATGCCTTTTCAGAAAACAATTCTCTTTTTGTATTACATATTACTAAATTCCACAGTGCAAGTGGCCATTGATAATCTCCAAGATTGTAAAAATTGAAATTGCTGTTTTCAGTTTTATATACCACATATCAGTGAAATCATATGGTTCTCGACTTTTTCTGTCTGACTTATTTCGCTTAGCATTATAATCTCAAGATCCATTGATGTTGTTGCAAATGGCACTATTTCATTTTTTCTTATGGCATATTAGCATTCCATTGTGTATATGTGATATATATATATATATATATATATATATATATATCTCACAACTTCTTTATCCAATCATCTATCAAAGGACACTTTGGCTGTTTCCATGTCTTGGCCACAGTAAAGCTGCAATGAACATCGGAGTACATATATCTTTATGGATAATTTTTTTCAGATTTTTTGGGTAGATACCCAAGAGAGGGATTTCTGGGTCATATAGTAAATCTATTTTTAATTTTTTTAGAAATCTCCACACTGCATTCCATAGCAGCTGCACCAGTCTGCATTTCTACCAGCAGTGTATGGGGGCTCCTTTTTCACCACAGAGTGGTATATAAAAGTGAAAACAACAAAAGAACAAGAAAAACAAATGAAGAAACAAAACTTATAGAGACAAACAATAGTTTAGTGTTTATCAGAGAGTAAAAAGGGAGGGG